TCTTCCTATTTTATCTCAGTAATTGTAATGCTCTTTTGCTGGAAAATATATATTTAGTTGTAGATTAATAATTTTAAAATTTGTTCTACCGAGCTGTTATAATGGATGCATTATCTTCTTTCATTAGCCTTTTGAAAATTCTGAAGGGCTATAAGTAGTATTTACCCTAAACAAATAAGCTGAGATATAATATTTTTGGTATTAGAAGGAAAAAAAGCAGGGGGGCCATGACCCCTCCTGGCCCCTAAAGGGATCCGCCCCGGTTCCACCTCCAAATCATCCAAACAAATGTTAAGACACACATAACCGCAATCATTTAGTTTATTATTTTATATATTTTTCAAAAACTTTAGAATTTTTAAGATAATATACATAAAGTTTATTAGTTTTTTAAATTCTAACTAATCCACATAATGGCAGCCACAACTTATTATTTTATATATTTTTTGCGAAGCTCAATGTCAAACACTTTTACATGAATTCCAAACTTTCTGACCACATAAAAAATTAGAAAAAAAAAAGTTGCTAAAAACTATTTGCAATTAGCCATGTTAAAAATGGTATATTAAATGCAAAAGTATGTATGGAAAGCTAATTTGTATTTTAAATAATATTCCTTCAAAATCAACATATAAAAGCTTATGTTTTTAATTTATAGTTACATAAAGGGTATAGTAATAATTTATTGACAATGTTGTAAAACCAAATGTTGTAAAAGTGGTTTGGCAAAACTAAGTCGGTCGATTAGAGATTAGAGATTAGTCGGTCCAGTGAGTGATTAACAGGCGTCTAGTTGTGAACCACAAAATGTAAAACAATTAATTTTTTAATGACTAAATATGAATAATATCATAACAATGTAGATAAATACGTTAAAAATCATAACAAAATAAGTTAACATGACTAACAAAACAATAAGCGTTGTCTAATCGGTGTCGTTAACTTATTTTGTTATGATATTAGACCAAAATTAATCACTAAGCGTTGTGTAATCGGTCACATACCACAATTTATCGAGATTTTTACAATAATAAACAGCTAGTTTTAATAGTTCTTTATTTGGTAGCCATATATCTTACTAGTTATACAATTATGTCATAAATAATTAGATATTAATAAATCATATTCTCTAAAATAAGAATTCATTAAGAATAAGATTCTTGCATTTTGCCTTCCTAAAAATGGAATTGAATCAACAAAATTAGTAACAAGCTAAAGAAGAAGGGGCAAAATTGCCAAAAACGATTAAATAAAGGGTGTGGTTTTTTTTCACCGTCACGTGAAGAAAATTAAATTCTCCATTTTCTTCTTCCCTCCCTCCATCTCTATATAAACTCTCATCCTCCGATCACCAGATTCTCTCTTTGGCATCTTCTCAAACTCCAATCTGCGTTGTTTTTCTCTCTTTGACCTCTGAAATCCACTCACAAATACACACGAAAACCGCCCATACACATAGTATTCTGCGCATAAGTCTCAGAAGAAGCTGCTAAAAGAGTCATCGGAAATGGCGTCGCCGTCGAATGAGCAGATGAATCGAGAAGAGACACCGACGGTTAAAGAATTGATGCATAAAACGAAAATAATTCAGTTCTTTGGAAGAAGTACTCCTATTATACTTCAGAAGGACAATGGTCCATGTCCTCTTCTCGCTATTTGTAATCATCTAAAACTCTTTTACTCCTTTTTAGGGTTTATTGATTTTGCCTAAATGATTCTTGAAATAGATTGGTTGTATGTTTGAGTTAGTTAAATCGATGATGATTTAATTAGTAGGGAATTTGTGCGGTATCATGAAGTGTTTAGATTGGATTTAGCGTACGTTTTAAGAATCACTGACAACGATTACGAGTTTAAGTTAACTCGTTACTTTAAACAGTTGTTTTCTTGCTAATTACTTAATTGGTACGCAATCGCCGTTCATTCAAAATTTAGGTCAAAATCTCAACATTATGTTAAGGTTTGGAGAGAAGTAATTATTGATTCAACTGTATGTAACTTCATACCTAATTTTTAGTTAATTTGGGTCTTCTGACAGAATTTTGAGGTATTATTCAATGATATGATTGCAATCTGGTAATCAACTTGCTTGTATCATTATTAAGGATCGCATGATTTCAAAGCATAGTTCATAACTGTGACCAAATAGTTTCATGAATTGGAAAAAGCTTGGAACCAAAAACTATTTATTTGATTGGGATTGTGTGCTTTTTATTAACCTGATGGATCATATAGATAAAACTACAATTTGATAATCAAAGTTTGCAATTTATGGTAGGTAACATTCTCTCATTGAGAAACAATCTAAGTCTGAGCCCAGATGTAGCCGAAGTATCACAGGAAAAATTGCTTTCACTTGTGGCTGAAAGATTAATTGATTCAAACAGTAATGTGAATGTAAGTGAAACCTCTTTTTTGATACACATATATTATTTGTTGCTAAGATGAACAAGTTGAAAGGAGAGCATTCTTGTTCTGATTGATTTTGGTCTTTTTTAATTTGTTACAGAACAAAGATGAAGGGTATGTTGAAAATCAACAACAGAACATAGCTGATGCCATTGATTTACTCCCTCAACTTACAACTGGCATTGATGTGAACATCAAATTTACAAGGTATGCTTTTTCTTTCTAGTTCATCTCTCTATATTAATTTGCCCCTTAATCTAGATTTACAACATGCAAATCTTTGAACTGTTACAGAATCAATGATTTTGAGTTCACAAGGGAGTGTGCAATATTTGATTTGTTAGACATTCCACTTTATCATGGTTGGATTGTTGATCCACAGGTACATTCTGCTAATCCATTTAAATATACATATGCAATATGAATATGTTCAAGTTCAGCATGAAATATAATTTAAATATACAATATTGGTGTCAGGATTCTGATACTTCAAATGCAATTGGGTCAAAATCCTACAATACCCTGATGGGAGAACTAGTTGCTCTTGAAACTCAAAATATGCCAAGTGTTTCTTTAAAGAATCATGAACAAGATTCTGTTGAGAAAATAGAAAGAAGAGATCTTGAAGAGGAAAATGAACTATTAGCAGCTATGAAACTTTCAACAACTGATGATTTAATAACTTTTGAAGATGAAAAGGAAAGCCATGGTAAAGAAATGGATGCTAGTGTAACAGAGAAGCAAGAAAAGAAAGATGGGAGTGAGGAAACTAGCTTAGAAGCAGGGGCAAAAACGGAAAATATTTCACTAAGTTTGTCTGGATCAGATCCTTCACCTCCTGTTGATACCCTTTTGCATGATTCAGAAGGAGATAAAAAGATTTCTGACCAATCAACTTCAAACTGCAATGTAAATGAAGTAGAAAAAATCAAGATTGATGAAAAGATGCCACAATCACATAATGTGGTTTTGGAATCATCAAAGGACATGACACAAAATATTCTTGAATCTGAATCTTTAATTGGAGATAAATCAAACGCTACAACAAATGAAAGGCTAGAGACTACTGCAAAACAAGGTATGAAAGTATTGATAAAAGTAAATTGATTTCATTTTTGAAAAGTTATAAAAGAAATTGCTTAAACTTTGTGGTGTTTTCATTTATAGGGGAAGTGATTAGGAGTTTTCTGAACAACAATGCGAGTCAGTTGACTATATATGGGTATATTTTGCTTAGCTTTTTTTTTTTTAATTTATATTTATTTTTCTTTATAAAACAAGATGATGATTTGTGTTGCTTACTAGGAGGACCTTCTTTTCTTTTGGTGTTGCAATACTTGCAGCCTTTTTTCCCTTCAAGATGGTTTAAAAGATCGTGAACTTTGTGTGTTTTTCAGAAATAACCACTTCAATACCATGTTCAAGGTTTGTTATTATTATTATTATTTTAATTTGGTAGATTAACAATTTCTATATATATATTTTTTATAAATCTCAACTTGTTTTCAGTTTGAAGGTGAACTATATATTTTAGCTACAGATCAAGGTTACTTAAATCAACCTGATTTGGTATGGGAAAAACTGAATGAGGTATAGTCTCTCCAAAAATTAGTAAACATTAAAAATTTAAATAAGTTTAGGGGTAGAATGAATATTATTGAAGTAATGGGGAAAAATTGAACATATAATGTGGTTTCACTTTCAGGTGAATGGTGATACAGTGTTTGTTAACGATAACTTCAAGAAATTCAATCCACAAAATCAAGAAACACGCACATGGGATGAGCAGAATGTGATGGCTAATACCGCTGTATTTTACTTCTTACTTCCCTTAATTTAAATATAATTTTTTATTTTTGATTTTCTATAATTCTAATTTTTAAATTTTATATTCCAGGATTATCTCGCAAGAATTGACAATTCCGCACAAGGAAACGCTGGTCTTAGGTAATTCAATTTCAAAATAAAATGCTATAAATGTGTAAAAATATATTAAATAGAAAGTACAATGCTATAATATTAATATGTCATTTTATGACAGCTCTGATATGCAATTAGCCATTGCCCTTCAACAACAAGAATTCGAGCAGCAACAACAACAACAACAACAGCAACCACGTGTTTTGCCACAGTCACCTACCACTTCACGTTCAGGGCTTGTTGTGGGTCCCCAGGTAACCTACTTTCATTTACTTTTTTTTTTTTTTTCACTTTTAATATTTTTATTTTATTTGACAGCATGTGCATCCATCGAGGCCTAGGCAGGATCCAAAGCCTTCGAAGGACAAGGACAAGTGCACTGTGATGTGAAAAACTTGCCATGCCATGAGTCATGAGTCATGGGATAGATAGATACTATTTGCATACGTGTGATTTTTAAACTCAGCTTCCTTTTGATGTAAATGATGTAGGACTATTTGATATATGAGACATGATGAATGTTTGGGGTCTTGTACCTTGTGCATAGAATGTTGTAAAGACAGATTACCTTTAGACAAATCACTGCTTATCAGTTATCAACACATGTTTTAGTCCTTCTACAAAGTGAAGTCATACGTTGCTTTCTTATTTTTTTTTAAACCATAACTACTTTACATATAATTTTGGGTGGGTGATACAGGTTGATAAATTACTTCCTTAACAGTATCAACTATGCCAATTCCAGTGAACCCATCTTCTGTAGCATAAAAGAGATTTAACACATTGCTCGTACTCCAAAATACATCCTTACAAGCTCTTGGAACAATGCTTCCTTCTACTTGCACAACTAACTTCAGAAGTTGTTCCCTCTTGACGTTAATCTTCTTCTTCATCTCCTCTACAGCCTCTTGTTCATCACTCGTGTGCAATGTCACAGCATTCAGTTTTCCCGCCTCTAGTTCTCTCTATAACATTTGCTCATATAACCCCTTATTAGGATCAACATTTCTAACATAAATCAAACAAAGTGTAAAATATACATACCTTATAGCTTTGGATATCATTCAAAATACGTCCCTGAGTACTCATTAGCTTAAACAAGTTGTAATATTCAGAGCTCTCAACAACATCCTTTGGCAATTTTGGCCCAATAAAGTAAAGAGCTGGAAGTACAATCGGACCTAATGCAACTGATACATAACCATTTTCCATATATTCGTTCATTGTAGGAACCGATTTATCTCTGGACCATATTGCTTCCCTCAACATACTTTGCATCAAATTCAACCACTATCAAAAATATCAAAAAAAATGAGACAGATGTAACTACTATAAATGTCAAAACAAATAATCAAATGTATAGGGAAATTGAAGGATTGCATTTTACAGTTTCAATAATATGATTTGTTACGCTTCTATTTTGGCGTTTATAAGCTTCTTCTCCAATCCACTTGACCGCATCCTTAAGTGCTAAAAATATAATGCGGACCTCATCTGAACAACAATCGTTGTCAACATTTACATGCCATCTGAAGTCGATAATAACAAGTTTAGAACTTGAATTAAGAGTATGTTATAAATATGAATAATATGATTGAGGGATTAAGGATAATATACTTTTCAACACACCGAATGAGGTTCACCAACTCATCCATGGAGCCTCCAACATCAAAGAAGTCATCAATTACTCCAGTGAGGATGCTACTTTTGGTCCATGAAATACGAGCATCAGATAGCTCAGGGGTGGAAAGCGTTGAAGCAACAGAGAAGTAACAGTAAGCTGCCCTCTGTCTAACAAATTTGAGCTTGTCGAGTCTATTCTCTACCACCCACCTATAAATTAGTTGTTTATAATCTATCAATGGGGTCCACTTTGATATTAAAGTTGATATGACATAATTATAAGGTTAGTGACACTGGTCGATCTTATATTATATATCTATGTTAATAGAAAATCTAACACCATGCACGTATGACGTACCTTTCAAGACCTTCCAATTCTACACGATGAATAGATTGGCATGCGTTGAAATCTTCCACTGCCAACCTTAGGTAATCCGTGTTGCTTATGTTTGATGAACTGCGCCATTAGAACAAGTACTCATTAGTAAAATGCTTTATAATTTTTTTTTTCCTAAAATTCACATTACATGTGGTTGACACCTCACCGAAATGTAGTTTTTAAAGTTCTTGTAGTGTCTACATTGTAATGCTCTATGTTTCTTCTAGTAGACATGCGTTCGACACTGGCATTGAAGGGGAACCTAAGCGCCTCCTCCACCTGATTTAATTAATATAAGAAAAGAGAGATTCTTTTTGTTTTTTTTGATAAAGTCAAAAGTCAATTTTATAATACCTCTGAAAAGATTGAAGCATTTAATATTGTTTGGTCAAGGAAATCTTTCGCTTCCCCAAAAGCCAACTCTTCTTGATGCATAATCTGTGATGCGTTACACATTTGAGCCGCTGCATACACGTCATCGAAAGGCTGTTTGGTAATTTCAGCCAATCGATCTACACCATGAAAACGAAAAAAAAGATAAAAATTTAGTGGAAAGCTTACTTATATATAATTAATATATATGTTCCTGTAGTAGTTAGCAACTGGTGGTGGTGTTGTTATTTCTTCATATGAATACATTTTCATAGTTCAAAATTAGGAAAATAGATTTTCAGTATATATATTTTTTTATCATTTTTCAAATACATGTCACAACGTGCCTTATGTTTGAGAAATATACCAGAGGAAACTTCATATCCATTGGTCCTTAATACCCGAAAGGCTAGAGCACAAGTGACAATATCCATGATTATTTGCTCATCCTCCTGCACCCAACATCTAATTATATGGCACATGTCATATTTCTAACCCAATATATCTTCTGATTTAATAAAAATGAACTTCAAAAAGATCACCTATATGTTTCATCTAAAACATTTTGGATTTCCACCCTGAAATGTCGTGAGATTCCCAGACTTTGAAGTGTGTCAACCATGCAAAGGCGTGCATATATATCAAAAGGATAAACTGTTGGGACTATGATCGATTCACCAATTAAATTTGTTAGCAAAATGTATGAGACATGCATAAGATATACTCATAGATTGATGATAACATGAAATGACTACCTGCATTCCCAAACTTGCTGATAAGAGATCTTAGATAATTTAGACATCCAGTATTTTGATGATGAATAAGAAGAGCTGCAGTTGCTGAAGGCGAGTTCAAAACAGACCCATTCTTCATCTGGTATTTCATCACCATTTTCCAATCATAGTAATTTCCCAGTCCTTCTGAAATGTATGCCAAATAAGCTTCCCTTCCCTGTGAATAACATCTATGGATGATAATAAATAAAGATTTGTGAGCCTTCAGTCTTTACCAAGTCATAATTTTCATAATGGAAGAAATAGAAATATGGATACAGTGGATAAGTAGTATTTGCTATTATCATAATAAAAAGCAGCTTACATACCTTGTGAGCTCCAATTCTCTCTTGTATAGCATCACACTCATCATATCTTTTTGATGTAAAGAAAATTGTATGTTCAAGTCCTTTGCATACTCAAACATACCAGGAAATATGATGTCAAAACCAAATGGAGAACGTTGATTCTTGTCAGTGGCTGAAGCAAAATTTGACTCGATGAAACATAGACCTGAAATAAGATTGTTCGTTTATGTTGACAACTTTAATGAAGAAAGCCAATAGCCATAAACATACACACCTTTGTTAATTTGGTGTTCTCCAGCATTCCACCGTTTCAATGCAACAACACATGCTAAAGTTGAAGCAAGAGTATCTTTAGGTAATGAGGAATGGTGATGAAGAAGACCCCCTCCCCATGAACCATCGCGAAGCTGATTTTCCATCAACCAGTTGAGGCAATCAGGGAAACAAGGGGAATCAGGAGAGTTTGGAGAAGGGACCATAGCCACCCACGCTGTGTCATATGAAGAAACAGAAAGTTCCACATTGGTGAATAGTTTCCGAATTTTTTCTTTGGTCATATCAAAGCTCTGCAACATGTTTACAGTTAACAGTTTGATATTTTGAAGGATATTAATGATACAAAATGGAGCTAGCAAAACATACCACAACTGCAGGATTAGCTTCTTGTAAAGAAGAATCATGATGATGATGCAAGGAGTACTGGGGTTGAAAAGGAAAACGATTGTTAAAGCAGGAGACTTGCATTGTGTATTTGTGTGTTTGTTAACAACAAAGAGAGAAGAATGAGTATTCAGTCAAGGCTTTAGGTCTGTGGAATGGAGACATATGGATTGATGAACCATATATAGGGACAAGAAATAAATTTATCACAATTGATAATGACCTACAAAGACTTTCCTATACGGAATAATGACTCAAAAGGATAACATATTTTTGGATTTGTAACTGAGTTTTTTTTTTGTCCATATTTTCACATTGAACTTGTTGAACTATTCAAAAAACATCCTTATGACATGCTATCGGAGGTTTAGCCGGTTTCCGATGTATTTGACACCTCCGACGAGCCTTCGGCGTTCATGATTTTTCCAACGAACTCAAAAAAACTCTCTCTCTCTCATGAAATGGGTTACATACACCATATCTATGATAAATGACAAGAAAAACTCCCATTTCCTTTTATAAAATCGTGTGTGTGCTTTGTAGCCCAACAAAGGGAAAATCACATAAAAGCCCTTAAGTTTTCACAAAAATACCGGTTTTACCCTTGGATGAGTTTTAGGTCCAGTAAAATCGGATATTTTGTTTAATTTGTTCATTTATACTCATTTAGCCCGTTTCCAGGTAACATACTAGTTATCTAATACTAGTAAAGCCTTTGAGTTTTAAAAAATGTTCGAATTTATCCTTAAGTTTTAAAAAATGTTCGGATTTACCCTTACTTTGATTATTATTATTATTATTATTATTATTATTATTATTATTATTATTATTATTATAAATGTTTAATACGGTTTTAAATGTATAAAAATATTTTATACGTACATTTTTAAATACGCTTTTAAATGTATAATAATATTTTTATAAATTTCAAAAATATATTTACTTGTATTTAGTATTTAAAAATATATTTACTTCTATTTAGTATTTATATATATATATATATATATATATATATATATATATATATATATATTTGAACGCTAATGTACGCCTTTAAAAATGTATTTATATATTAAAAATATATTTATTTGTATTTAGTAGGTATTAATATATATGTATTTCGTATAAAAAT